ATTTTACCACTGTAATCATCTAAATTCACGCTAATTTTTTTCTATAATCTACTGTTTTATTAGAACCGAAACGTAATCCAATTAGCCTATGGATTACGGCGCTTGAACATGAATAAAAAAAAAAAAGATAAATAAAAGAGAAACTAGCGGTTATTCTTGTTAAGTTAACAAGAAAATCAGTTTGTAATTAGCAACTGTTTACCATTGCATTCTTTTGAAAGAAAATTCTATTGAATAAAGAGAAAAAACACCTAACAATGCATTATTTAAGTATATGTCGCGTGTCCTTTGCAAACCACCCAGTCTGTCCTAACAGGCTGTGTAAGCAAAGGCTGTTTAAAGTAACACGCCGTTAATAATTTTGAGAATCAGTCTTGAGAAGCGGCGGACTCGTTAATGATAGGGTCTGCACTGACGGCGACTGTTTGAGGCAAGTCGATGGGAGGTCTCCTTTTTCCACTTCTATCCTACCTCACGTCTCAAGAGGATTACTCAGTAAATTTTTCTAAATCTTATTATAAAATTGATTAATAATAATTAAGAAGGATATTTTTTCTATTTGATTAATTTTATGATAAATGAAGACTTTGATTGGCTCCCGGCATATATGCTGAAGTCATCTTTTCTGAAATGTTTGCGTACAACTTTATTATGTAAAAAAGAAACTTGATTAAAATTACAAAATGAAAAGGATTGGAGATTGCATGTCAATCAGCAATAGCTATAATCTTCACTTCCGTTCTTAATTAGCTTTAATTAAGTAAGATTAACCAACACACGCATAAGAGCATTTGATCCGTAAAACGTTGCAGGTGTTTGAGGAGTGACAGATAAATTTGGACAATCTTATCTCGACTGTTTCTTTATAATCATAAGTTATAGCTTTGAAAAGATATCTATTAACTGATAATCAATTATGATTATTATTTATATATTTTTTTCTTTTTTTTAGATTGGAGAAAAACGAGCTTTAAATTCTTTTCTGGTCGAGCTTCTTATAACATCAATGCATAAAGTTAGCACAATACAGTAAACGTTTTATTTCTACTGAATTCCTCAAGTTGTTTTGAGTGTAGAAGAGTCATTACAATCCACTGAAACAATAGTCTTGGTTGCCCGTCTGCTATTAAATTTGTTGATGCATGAAGACTTTTTTCATCAGATTTCTTCTTGCTTTTAACATGAACACTAACACCTTCGGCATTTAATCGTTTCTCTAGAACGAATTTTCATTAGAGATTATCTAAACATTTTAAATAATTGAATTTAAAGTGAAAACAAGTGCCATTGTAGATAATTAAAAAGTTTTTTTTTTTTTAATTTAAAGATTTTAATATAAAATTTAAAGAGAAATATTTTAGAAATATTCAAAATTTAAAAAATAATTATTTTTCTTAAGACATTAAAATGCAGAAAATTAAGGCGGTTTCTTAATTTTAATATCATTTGTGATTTAATTATTCTGTATAGTTTCATAAAAGCATTGGCGCCGCCTGTCGGACGTATAACCAACTAACGGGCGGGGTGTTCCTATTCATTCCATTCTATTAATGCATCCCCTGCTATTTAATTAACGTTGGGTCCTTTTCGTCTGGGGAATACATTTATATCTCCGGACACGACCAATAACATCCCGGTGTTAATGATATCAACACCTTAATTAAAAAGAAGCTTTGTGTAGAAGTTCAATTATACAGTCGTCGTTCATCATTTGCTGAAGCCCTTGAGCGTGGAAAGAATACTTCGGAAGTACCCATACACTTTACTGCTTTATTAAAATACCTCTTTATATAGAAGGTCCATTCTTTATCAAAAATACCGTTTTAATTTTAAATTTTCTGTTAATGCTTTTACAAAAGTTAGACCTTGTTATAAAATGTAAATGTGGCCTCTCAGTACCTAAATCAGATGAAGCACGCAAAAGTAATAACAGCTGACCCCTAAAAGAGGTCATGCCATAGGTCATTATTCTAGACATTAAATCAGGGATGAGGTGGAATAATTTTTAGTTACTCCCGCTTGCATTTTTTTCTTATTTAAAGAGATTAGCGATGTAAAATTTAAAAAGCCATTTTAATATTTTATTTCCAGTAACAATGAAATTGTTATGTTCCATTCTATCATTTTTCACTCTATAAAATAGAAAATAAAGACTGTTAACAATTTCTCATTGTTTACTTATTAAAGCAATAACTAAGTTGATAGGTCCTCATAAAATAACTAAATTGCATGACGTTTCGTGTTCCTATAGAAAATTTTATTACGCGAAACTAATTCTAAGAATGTTACGGACATTTATATTGAAAGTTGTATCCTGTTTTTAATAGAAGAATTTGACAAATTAAACATATAAACATGAATTTCTGAAGGTTTCAACAATTTGTTCAATGTGTCCTCGAACACACAGCCAATGTCAATGTGCGTAGATACAAAAATTTTTGGTGTCAACTTTGCGTAAGGTTTATCAGGTGAAAGTAGCCCTAATTTATTCATTTAAATATTAGTCATGCATGAAATAGTAGAATTAGTGAGTCACTTACAGATGCTTGGCGTAAAATTCAACGAGAGACCATTTTATAAAAAGATGCATCCTAATAGGCCAAATGGCACCTATTAAGAAAATGTGGCAATTTGTAGCCAACGAGATGACTGAGAGTCAGAAGAATCATTTAGAGCCAATAAATAAAAGGACGTGCGTTTATTTGCCGTAGACGTTACTGAAAAGCAGGAATTGGTTGGCGGTCCGGAACAAATGGTTATTGCTGGCAACGGGCCGAGAATGTAAATTGTACATTATTACGCTGGAGGTAGTATATTTAGTGTATGTTATTGCAATACTTAGTCATAAGTGGGTGCGCTGCTCAGGAATTTTAACTGGTTGACTTGTCGGACTAGTCTGCACACTTCGGGGAGAAGGTCTCCAAAATTGAAATTCAAAATGCTTCTTTTTTCCCTTCTTCTTCTTTCTTCGCCTATTTAATCATGTAAATTTAACTTGTAGACCCGTTCTTATCTGTAATTATAATAAATGGTGTTATTTCTTTCTAAATAAATTAAATTTCGTGCATTTTTTTCTAATTCTGCATTAAGTAAACCGAGAAGAGTTTTACATTAATTATCTTAACGTTTTGGATCTCGATACATTTTTCCTCTTAACATAATGATATATTTTGTTCAGAAAATTGCATTTATTAGCTTGTAAAGTAAGCTAATTATATAAGGATCTATTAAAGAATTATGACAATTTAGAGTAATTCATTTTTTAATTTGCTTATATAGTCTAAAACTTCTATGTAGACGTACTGTATAGTACAGTGCTACACTGCACTGTACTGTACGTAGCAGTAAATTTATAAAATTAAATTCTTTCTATTTAAATTTATTTTCATGAAGAAGTTTTTAACTATAAAAATTGTTAAATATAATCTATTTTAACATAAAAAATGAATTTAAACGAATATACTTGAAAAAAAAAACTAGAAACAACAATTTCTACTTTCGTACTGAATAATGCAATGTTAAAATAATTTAGATAGCTCCATGATTCGTCTAGCAATCTCCAAAATTACAGATAACTTGGCAATCAGGAAAGACTTCTGCAAAATTACTCCCTATTTAAATGTGACCGTAATGTAATCATGGGCATTGCTAGGCAACCAAATGAGATGTGCGTGACGTATTAGGAGGACTCTTAAATTATTAAGCATGAAGAGATATTTCGTTTAATAACTTTCTGCTGATGTCTTTATTATTTGAAAATTGTTAATTGAAGGCTTCGTTTTTATGAATGATGAAAAGAAATCTGAAAATTATTTAACAATTTCATAAAATATGTTTTTATTTTAGCAAAATTTTATATTTAGCGAGTGTTAAGTGTGATATAAAGCGCTTGAATTTATGCGTACATTTAAATGTATTTCACATATTTTAGTTTATTAACATTTACATAAATTACCGGTAATAATAAATTATTAAGTTTAAATGATAATTTTATCTTTGTATATAAATTGAACAAAGCATAATAATTATCGTAAAAGTTAAAAGAAAAACTTAAGTTTATTTATATTTATGAATTAAAAAATTACTAAATAGTCCTACAGGCCTAAACAAAACCTCTAAATTTTCTTTCAACTTTACGATAATTAAGATATTTTATAGCTTTATAGTTGTTTTGGGGGTTTTATAGTTCTGTGTTTCTGTGTTTCTTTTAGTCTGTTATAAATTTTATACGACAAATTGTCGAAACTTTAAATTGCTTTAATCCTATTCAACTTGTTTTACGTCCTTAAAGCTCTTTAAATTTATTTATGTCCAAATGTATTTAAATTGTTCGATCTACATAAAAGCTATAATTTTCGGAGAATTATAAATATTCTGTTATCGTAAGGTATTATAGACTTGATCATTACATGCTGAGAATTGTTAATTTTCTCTGTTACTCTAATGCATTAATAGTTCTAATTAATATTTTATTACTGATTTATTATACGACGTTTGTATCAATCACATCTGAAAAGTGTTTACTTCAATGCTTCTATTCTGCGTATTTTAATGTTGTGTGATTCTGTTTGCCTTTTCGTGTTTTGTCATTTTTTCATGCAATTCATCAAATAGATAATATGACTTCATAATAAGAGTATGCATTGTGCATATTTTTAATTTAACGCTTTTTAATACATAAATAATAAATAATTAAATGTTAATCAGGTTGTTGAGTGAATTGTAATACTTCATAAAAACTCTTAAATTCCTGTTTAAAAATATTTTTGTTTACAAAACAATTTACAAGTTGTTATCATATAACAATATAAATTATTAATATTTTTCAAACAAATTATTTTTGATTTATAAATATTATTATAGAAAATTATTCGATGATAATTAGGTAGATTAATTGCTCCACTTTTTACTAACAATATGAAATTTATCGGAAAATAAAAGAGTTATAAATACAAAAAAGTTTTTATACAGTTAATTTAATGTGTTATTTTTATTTTTAGAGAGGAACTAGCAATGAGGGTGGATCTTACAGAAGCAAGAGTTCAGGTGAGTTTTTACTTTTTACACACTCTGTTTATTCGAGAAATCGAATTCTTAAATTTAAACGGGGAAAATGAAAATTTAAATTCTTAATGTTTCGTTTATTGGAATTTTATTATTTTTATTTTCCTCTTCACAGTACATTGACACTTCGCTCCTTTTCAAACAACAGCTTCTAACAGGTATTTTCTAAGTCTTTAAGATCACCCAACCAATCAAAGTTATTCTTCTTCATTCTGTTAAATCATTTCCGGATTCTCCTGAATGAATACTTAACATTAATGCGAATTAATAGAACAAATAAAATATAGTTTAATGAGTTTGATTTAATGTTATTTTATAATATATAATAGTTTTTTATAGCGAAAAATTCATAACGTAGAACGATAGAAACTAAAGAAAAAGTTGAATGTTAAGCTTAAATATAAAGAGTTTGGTTATATTTGTCAAAAAATTTAATACTTTTAAGTTAAATTCACAATTTTGCCTTCAAGTTTAAATTCTCAAAACTTAAATACCTTTAATGCAGAAAACAAATAATAGCTTTAGAGAATGTAATTAAAAAATGTTTAAATGATCTTTATTTTGAAATGCATTATTATACAAGAGTAGTATCAAACAAGAGCAAAAAAGTATATTATAAATAATTCATAATGTAATAAAGACATAAAAGCAATGCCTCAAGAGCGTAATCACGTAAAGTGGATACAATATGAGAAGTACTGTACTGTAGTACAGTACAGAACATTAATAATTATATAATATTCCTCGACTCAATACAAATAAGGTTATTTAGCAAATGAAGAATCTAAAATAAGCTTATATTATAAACATACTTTTTAGAAGATGATTAAAAGTCAGTTACGTATACAATAATCCAAATTATAATCATATATTGACTATCAAATACGAAATATATGAGCTTGCCAATTTCAGTATGTTTACACGTATTAACTTAAATTTCGAAATGTTTTAAAGCTTAATACAATTTCAGTAGTATTTAATTAATAATGGATTTTTAAAAACACTAATGTCAATAAAAATCTTTAGTATTTTGTCAGATTAACATAAAAGAAGTTTCAATATTATATAAATAGATTTTGTTTGAAAAACTTGAAATTTAGTAGGTCAGAATCTCTTGATGCAAATCTTTACGCGATAAATCTCTTTCTTATTATAGGAAGGATTCCGGATCCTTCATTGAACTTGCAGGTGTTCTTGATTTTTTTCATTGGTAATTCGACACGGATTTCGTTTCTCCATTCTTCATCCATGCTGTCTGATCACACTACGGTTAGGACATGTCCGTAATGAATGAAACTGATTTCAGCGCTATCACCCATAAGAATATGAAAGCCTTTAAGGTAAAATTAATGCCACAACGTTTGCTTAAAGTGATAAGTTGATTTTATTATATTTCATATCGATTATTTCATTTCAAAGAAAATAACTTATGTTCTTCACTTTATGCAATTTGTTATTTTATACTGAAAATAGTTTTGAATACGCATTAAGTAATTCGAATTAAGCCTATATAATAAATTATTTAGATCAAATAGGGATCAAATATTATTAAAAAGATGTAGGCTATTGGTCAGTTTAATCTATTAGAATTCTATCTTAGGAAAAATAAAATTGTGAAGTTTGTATTCTAGCAATGAATTAATGATTATCGTAGGCTAATATTCATAAAGTTCAATAAATTATTTTTTTTATTGGAACGTTAATGCAACGATAATAAATTAGTTTTATAAATTGTCATCATCATTTACATCATAATTTTTATAAATTAATTAGATTATAAAACTCAATAATGTTAAACCTTCGTCATTGAATTATCGTAATATATTGAAGTGGCGGTGGAAGTGAACAATCAAAGTGACAGAGATTCAATTAAAGTATGATAAATCTCTATCGATAAGAGTGTGACAATAAAATTATTAGAATTACTCAACATTTAAGCCTACAAACAATAGTTTTAGTTATGATTGGATGCAGTCACGTCTAAATTGATGATAATCAGTTCAGAGAAATTCAGGATTGAAAAGAACCATCCGTGTCTTTTCACAATGGCAAAGAGTTCGATATCCGATAACACTTTGATTTATGAAAGGAAATTCACAGGAGTAAATCCGGTAAATTCCAAATGTCCTTCAAAAATGATTTTTAATGAATTTTTTGATTGCAACAGGAAGAATTTTCAATGTTTCAAGATTCGTGATTTTGTTATCATAACTTCAATCAAAATCACATTTTATTCCTATGCAATTGAAGGCTTTGATAGATTGAATAAATGATATACTGTTCAGCAGAATATATTTTTGTAGTGTATTCACAAAAGATAAAAGTTAAGGTCATCCTGAAGTAACTATTCAAAAATATCACGGAATATAAATTTTTAAATAAAATTCTATTATTGAAAAAGTGAAATGGTATCCGGAATTGCATATGCAACATGTTGTTCCTGAAATGCATCTATTTATACGTTTAGTTTTCATATCTTTTCATTTAAAACGATGTCCAAAATTCTTTGTTAACATGAGATTATTGCGAACGAACATTAAAATGAACTATATAAAATAAGGAAGCAATAGCAATTTAAATGAATAATGGACATCAGGGCGCAATATTCATGATATTTCAAGTTATTTATAATTTATTATGATCACATAATACATAGAAGAAAGAACGGAGAAGAAAAATTTAAATTGTATATGCGAGATTCTTAATTACTCTGTAGATATTTCTACTAAAAAAAAACCTCCCTTAATAGAGAATTTTAATTGGTTGAAATCATTAATTCGTAATTATAATGCTTAATAAATTAAATTGTAGAAGATAATTACTATTTTGCATGCTACTTTAAATAAGAAACTAATATCTTTATATATCGGATGATGTGTCATCGAGTAGTTTACTGGAAGAAAAATTATCATTTCACAACAAGTTAATTTGATTAGATTAGAGGATAAGTGTAATTAATCTCTCCTGAATGACAGTTGAAGCAGAGATGGAGACTCAGAAATTTTGATGAAATCAAAATTATTCTTTTTTAACTTCCTCCAATTAAATATCTATCACTAAAAAAACATTTCATTTCTATATATAATTAATGTTCTAGGGAATTATTTAATAAGCCAACATTAAATCAATATTATTAACGGTAGACTTAATGATAAATTGCAATTTTCAGGAATGTTTTTCTAGTTAAAAAATAGAAAAAATATTGGCATGCTCTATTCAGTTTTAATAGTATATTGAGTATATCTAATAGTCTTTTATTACAAAATAATTTCTTACATACTTTCAATAGATTTTCCTAGATAATATTAGTTTACTGAATTTCTAAATTTCTTTAACGGATAATTTATATGAATTTTTATTGTTCATCATATAGGCTACACCTCGTGTATAAAATATTTCCCTCGTAAATATTAGTTAATATAAAATAGTACATTTTTAAAGTTGTTTTTAAATGAGAGACTATAGTTATAATGTATTATTTTTATAAATAGTTATTCACAGTTACGTTTTATAAATTACAAAATTCTTAGTTATTTTTTTTATAAAGATTATTACACAATAATCAGGTCACATTTAGCTAAAATTTAAAGAGAGAAAAATGACGATAACATGTAATTGATCCGAAATTTAGATAACGAAAACTTAAACGTGAACTCGGAACATTTCTCACATAATTGAACAATTTGTTATATTTTGAAACAACTAGCGATAAACAAAACCTATATTATCTCTAAACACGAATGGTAGTACCACAATAGTATAGAATGGTACTACCTGATACAAGCCGAAAATATTCATTTCCGGTGTACACACGTGCGAATTTAACACGTGATATCCGGTCATGCGATTATCATGTTATATTGAGGTAAATATCAGATGAGACTCGTCCATTATCTTTTCAATCTTTATTGCTTCCTCTCGATACATAATCTATTGCATTCTTACATTTAATAAAAACAAAAAAAAAATTATCTTACATTATAAATAGCCTTATTTAAAGTATAAGAAATTAAGCAGTTGTTAAATATTTATATTTATTGTATTATTTTTTTGTAATTACAGTTATAATTTTATTATTTCTTAAGACAAATAGTGATTTTATTACAACTACTTTTATTTTATATTTAAATTTAGACTATTAAATTAATTTTTCCATTTTATCAATTTATAGAACACCAAAATATTTTTGAACGTTTATTTAAAATTACTTTAAACTTTGTAAAATATTTATGTTTTTATATAATTAGTGTCAAAAGTTATAATAATTCTTTAAAATTCCTGTCCTCCATCAGAATAAGCCATATTACAGAATTTAAAACTTTGTTCAAACACTAAAATCCTTAAGATTTCACGATAATTTTTAATAGTGAAGAAGAAAAATACCTATATAAAACTATTATATAAGACTAAACTATATAGCTTATATAGTAGTGAATTTCAGTCATTATTTAATTTTTACAAAAGAATTAGAATTTCGAGCTTACAGATATTCGAAACATTCACGAATTAAAAATATTTGCGAGGATACAAACATCAAGTATTTTAACTGACTGTAAAATCACTCAACTTGTACATCCTAGCCGGGGGCAAACAAAAAGTAATTATTGTATAAGTATTTTTTCATTTTTTTTTCTATCCACACTAATTACTGGCCAGATAATACGATTCTTATTGCGTGCCAGACTCAGTTGAAATTAATCGCCTTGCAGGCTGCTGACAACTTCTTTACTTTCATTGTCTGTTAATGTAGAGTGTAGGGATGAAACTACACCACATAGAAAGACAAATCGCACTAGTTTTTTCATCTCATTAATATATATATATTTTTTTTGCATAAAATCGGCAACAGGTATTTTTTTAAAATGTTTTCGTGACATCACAAGTCTTACCTGTCAAATGTCAAACGTGACTTCATCGTCTGAAAGATAAAGTAATCTAACAATGTCACCTGCCAATTGCTAACCACGTGAGACTGCAAACGAATTGCTCATTGGTTATATGATATCATGAAAATCGGAAAAACCTCACAAGGTTTATAAGAAAGTAATTCTTTTATCTACATGTGGGACTGCAGTAGATATTGGTCAAGTTCATAAGTAGGAATTAAAATTTTGTGCTTTCCTTAAAGAGATGTCATTTTATCCCTCAGGCAGTAATGGCGATAGGGTAGTAGACATGGTTCACTGACTTGACCGCCATCTGCTCCTATCAGGGTTAATTGTCGATGCTGTCACAAGGTGTGCTACAGCATGTTGATTGACTCAGTCGATATATTTTTTTTACCTAACATTGCAATTGATATAGAAACGCTCCTGATCAGAATTAGAAATAGCATGAATTAGTTTTCGTTTTTATATAGTTGGTTATTTATTTCATGAATTAATCAGTAAATTATTAATGCTTTATATATTTATAAAGTTTAAAAAAATCTTTCTCTTCCATTATAATTTTTTTAAGTTTAGCTTTTATTAGAGTTTTTATATAAATTTTATCATTTTTAACTTTAAAAAATTGCACATATTTTGTTGTAGATTATATTCTACAAAATATAAGCGTAGATTTATTAAAATTATAATTGCATTCTACTTACTTATAATTTGTTTTCTTAAACTGCAGAACTATTTAGAACATTATGTAAACAATTTAAGGAGAATTCATTTACTAGTTTTACTGACGAATAAGAATTAAAATTTTCCAAATATAGTTAAACAATTAGAAGAAACAACAGTCTGTTCCATATCTTCCAAAGCCAACTTTGCTTCTCTGTTCAATTCACACTTACAACTGACAAGTTAATACAGTGAGGAAAATAATTGGCCAGGTTAGGATAAAAATTACTTCATGTCACGCAGGAGATACATTAACATGTACACCGAAACTTACGAGGTCACGGAAATCGTGACGGAGTTCGCACTTTTGCGCGTTAACTAACGTGCACAATTGGGCGTGGTTAAACAATTCATTGCTGTATTACATTTAGGAAGCGATGTTGTTTGTCCAATTGATCTTTACTTCATAATTTGAGTAAATTTGCATAGATTATATAAAACAATTCGTTTAGCATTATTGCGATTTAATGAAATTAAATTACTGAATAAAATTAATTTTGAAATAATTTATGTTAGAAAATTATAATAAAACTGGTTAAAGATTAAGTATTAAGATAAACATATTTTTTTTTATGTTTCCATGATAAAGAAGTAAATTTTTTAAAAAATCTTTAAGAGAATCATGATCATAAGGCCTATGTCTATTTATCTAGATATGATGGAATGTTTAATAATAAAGCTGTACAATTATATTTTTTATATAATCAGTATTTAATTAATTTTTATATAATATACAGTTACTGTACATAAATTATATATAAAAACAAATTAATTATTTCATATTTAGTTAAGAAATTTTTTTTTATTTCGTTTCAGGTTTGGTTTCAAAATAGACGTGCTAAATGGAGAAAACAGGAGAAAGCAGCCGGAAGTCAGGGTCAAAGTTATATGCCATATAGCACTTCTCCTAGCATACCGTCCAATCCTCCAACTAATCCGTCAACTACTACTGCACCAACAATTGGCCCCTACGGTCCATTGGTTTACCCAAGGAAGCAATATGATTCTCCCTTATATGGAGCGAGTTCTCGACTTCAACCGTCCTACCTCCCTCCAGTAGCAGGAAAACTACTGCCTAGCTCTACTTACTTATCAGGATCACCATATACGTTAAGGGACTTATCACCTTATTCTTCAGCAGGATTGCTTCCTACTGTGTTACCCACATCATTCGGTCCTGGATACCCTTTCCATAGTTTCCTCACTAACTTATCCGTCCATAGTAGACCAAAACTGAGTCTCACTGATGTTCATCCTCATCCTACACCTGTGACTAGTGCAGAAAACTTTGCTAGTTTTTTAGGTTACGCACCCACCACTTCTCAAACTTCGAGTCTGTTGGGGAATCCAGCAGATTTGGATAGAAGAAGTTCAAGCATAGCAGCACTTCGATTGAAAGCCCGTGAACATGAAATGAGAATGGAAATTCTCAGAAAAGCTAATGGGGAATTGATTAGTTGAATTATTTTATATAATTGCTACATAGTTTTGAATGAAAATAAGATAAAAATGGGTCTATTTGAATGAATAATACGAGTTCTTCGAAAGAACTTAAGTCTGAAGAACAAATTATAAGAATGAAATATTTTGATGAAAACGAATGGTACAGTTAAGCGAAATTTAAATTAATATGATAATATTTTAAGCTTATACACGCATTTTAAATGAGAATTTAAATTTAAAAAATTTAAAACAAAAGAAAAACCTATTATTTAACTTTTTAAATAGGTTAAAATAATAAATTTATGTATCCGAATAAGATTTGAATGAACAAGGAAGAAATATAATGCATCTTAATTAACTGTAAAAAAAAAGTTTATTACTAATAACACGATTCGAATTTTATTTGTGATCAAATTTTCCAGATTCAAGATTTTAAAAATCAAGTAATCTAATTCTGAATAAGAATTTGTGATATAAACGAATTCGGGAATTTCAGGGTTTATAAATGTATCCAATACTGTATGTTATTTATTGCCTTTGTCATATGAAGTCTATATGACGTCGTTGTTATCATTGTACAGTGTACATTATTGGATTACCTTCTCCCGATAAAAATTTATCGTTTTTTAACGCGAAAAAAAAAGTTAAAATAGAAACTGCCTCGCAAATTACTGTATATGCACTCAAACAGCATTTTATTCTGTGATTATTATTTTTATTTTTATAAATATCTAAAAACAAGCCGAAGGCATCTTCTAGAAAAATTTCTTGCCTTTAAGCTTAATCTGCATAACTAGTTTGTATTATATGAACATAATAATTGCCTTAATAATTGTTACTTTAGGGACCTATAAACCTACTTAAATCTGCGAGCAATTCCAAGGTTGCATACACATCATCGATATGAAAATACTTCTATAAGATACGATCGCCGTAATTCGTTACAGTAAGTGACTAAATCTCAAAACTGAAGGCCTTAAAAAACTATACTGTGCCTGAAAATTTACCGTCCAAAGAACAAACTTTTTTTATATTGATTTATGTGCCTCTTGATATTGTTAATGCACTTAATCTTGAAAAAAAAATAACAATTTCTGCACGTTTGGGAAATGGTGACTATTCTTAAAACATAATTTATGTTCACTTTATGTACAATTTAAATTTTATATGTCAAACAATATGGCGAAGGGTTTCGCTATGTTACACTTCTATTTAAATAAATACTTCTTTAAAGTAAAGTTTTATTTATTGATTGATTGATTGCAATGTCTTATATTAAACATAAAATTTCTGCACTTAATTCTAATAAATGAACTAAGAAAACACAAACTTTTATATTTAAAATTTAATATTTTTAATTTATTAGTTTATTTAATTGGTGTAATTTATTAAAAGAACAAAATTATTTCCACTGAAATTCCTACTTTTAATGGAAATATAATATACAGATGATTATCGTTTATTTTAAATTGAACTTCAAAAACACTGAAAATATTTATTTGTAATCATATTTTTCTATATTTCTTCTACCCTTCGTAGTTTTAAAATAATTCAAATTTGTTTATCTCTGAAAATTTAAATTTGATTATCAGATGGGAATCTTGAGATAGGAACAAGTCCCAAAGGGGAAAAAATCTAGCGAAAAAGGTTTAATTGCAGATTTTTCCCATTTGTACCTCCAGGAGCCCCTTAAAGCACTTATCTGTATTCACCAAACCCATTTATTAAACTAAATGCTCCATATAGCCCTGGTCACAATTACCGTTTAATCATACTTAAGCCCACTTTGTAAGGAGAAGAATCTCAACTAGCAACTTTTTATAGAATCATAACTCATGCTGTAATTATTATGCTTTAAATAGTTTTACTTACTTTTGCAGACAGTAATTTGACCTAAGTAATTTGTTTTCGGTTATTTTTATAAGTAAAAGTAATAGCTAACAATCATTTTAATTAATTAAAAAGATTAAGCCCTATGAGTCAATGAGTAAAATGCATTAAAACGCTTTGATAAACAAGGAAGAGTTTAAAAGTAAATCTAGTTTTTCTTGTTTAATGTATACGCTACTGTAAAATTTTAGATAATAAAATCAAATAATAATTTTTAAAAATTCAATTTAAATTATATTTTTATGCTAATTAAAGAATAGAAAAAATTTATTAAATTTTAAAATATTTAATTAGAATAAAAATTAGATAAATATCCTAATCTGTACTATACGACACCATACTTTAACAACATTAATTTTAAAGAAATTATATCAAACAAGCATAAATCAACCTTATATAAAGCCTATAAAACTGCATTTAATGCATATGGTTTTTAAATTATATATAGTTATAAAATAGTAATTTTGAAATTCCATAGAAAGCTAAATTTTATCTCTGGGTACACAACCTCCTCCTCTAAAACCATCAACAAGGTTAATCTATATCAATAAAAACGGACTAAGTGACAAATAATCTTTAGAACTTCTAGCTAATATCCATTTAACACGATTTCCTGTTTCCATCTGTCATTAAGAGAAGACATAAGCGGTTTCAATCCGATAATGATTCAGTTTTTTTTTTTAATAACAATGTCATCTGGAAACCGGTCAGAAACCAGAGGGCTGATGTCACGCTTAGAAAATTCAGATAGCTTTCTACTTTTTCCATTTTCTTCAGCATCAAAAGAAGTCATTTAGACCATTGCAAAAATTTATAATCTTTTATGCTGAAGCTTATTTAAATGGAAAGATCTACAAAGATAAATAGCTATTTTAGAATGTAATTTCTTCGCTTAAAATGAAAAATTGTTTACATTCCTTTTGTGTGTGTGTGTGTGTGTTGTTTAAGCTTTAAAGTGGGAAATTTAAGTAATGCGTAATTTAATTAAACGGTTTTTATACTATTAAACAAATAGTTTCCTTAAAAGGCGGAAAAATAAATTAGGTTTTTTTTACTTTTTAAAACTAATATTAACATTTTAGCAAAAAATAATAAGGAAATTAACAAATAAAAAACTGTTTTAGGAAAAATTTATATAAAAATTTTCCTTGTAAAGTAAATTAAATTCAACTTTAAAAAAAATGTATAAGAAAATAGAGTCATAGACTTTTCGTGCAGAAAATTTACTTTTTAAGAATATCTCAGTAGCATTTACCTTTCTTCTCTATCCTCCCTCTATGTTGGTTTTCGTGATTTTAGTTTTTCAGGCTGTAAACTTCACAAAAGTGATTTGTTTGTATAAGAAACGTGAATTGGAGATGCATGCATGAATTGCTGCACGCGAACAATTTGGAATTTCCTATTTTCTGTGAAGTAGCATCATTTTGTTTTCAAACAATAGACTCACGTAATTGTTTAAATTTGTTCTGTTTTGTTTCAAACGATAGCTGGAAAAAAAATAAATAAATAAATAAATTTTGTTTTCTTATGTAGCAAATTATGCTGTAAGTTACTTAAAAATAATTCTTTGTTTTTTTTTGAAACAATATAAAACAATAAATAAATATAAATCTGTTTAGCCTATAACTTAAATAAACCTGCAAGCTATAACAGGAAAACTGTCATGTTTAATCGAATTTTTTAGAGAAAGCGTGAAAACAATAATAAATCTTTATTGTATTTTTTATCGCTTTTAAATTAGAGTAAAACTGTAACTTGTTTATTTTATTTTATAAATTGATGATACTACTTCTACCTTTTCTCTCCCTTTTTTCCCCTCCATTAGCAAAAAACAATGACAATTACTTTTGAAATCTAAGAGATATTTTAAACAAAATTTCTTAATAGACTTGAGTGAAGATGAAGATCATGGGCCCCAACTCTAAGGGGCTAGAACCCATTCAGCTCTTCCAAATAATATTTTTAATTGACGCTGACCTCCAGAGTTGAACTTAAACTAAAATTGGGGCTAAACGGCATCACGGGTGCCAAACTTTTAGAGTTGGTCTCCGTGATGAAAATAGAAAAAATGGAAGATCAAACAAAATGGTTCTCAGTCAACAAAAAGGCAGATTCATTAAAGTTTTAATTGTACTTTTAATCAAACTAAAATACAATTAAAATTAAATGTATTTAAATTATAAATTTTTTGCTTTCGATTATGAAATTATAATCCGATGAATTAATTTAACTGTTTCGTTTCTGCCATTTTTTTTTTATTTTACAGGAAAATGTATAATCAAATGAAAGTAACAACGTGTAATTGAGAAAATATGCAACACTTTTTTTTCCTAATTTATATATTGTTAATTTCATACTTTTACAAAATAATTTTCATAATTTTATCGAATGATTAATGTGAAACGAAAAACTAATTTCCTAAGTGTTATTACTTTATCGATATGTTCCGATCATAAGTTGAAATATGCTGTTCAGAATAATTATTTTTATATTTCTGTATTATACATGATACTAACAAGTGTAAGAGTAAATTAAATTTTGGTATTTAAATTTAATTGTAATGAATATTTTATTTATTTTGTTTTTTTAAAGTAAAATATTCTTAGAGACAAAGCAAGATAGTTTAATTCAATCGTCTAAAAACAGTTGCAAAGAATATATTTCAAGAATATATAAATGATATGATACAAAAGGTTTTTGTATTAAAAACGTACAATTGGCTATGCATAACAGCCTTTAAAATGTATTCTATTTTCCAACATAATTGTATGTAAGCTACATTAATTTTCTTGTTAATATAAGAATATATGTACACTAGGCCTACGTACAGTGTATAGTTTATTTACTTATAATTATTTGTGAGCATCATTCCAGTATCATGCGTGAATGTTGATTTGATTTTGCTACGTTATGCCAAAACTAAGGAATTTATAACATGTTTTACGAATTCTAATGACTTCAGCAATGTTTATTTCATTTCTATTCTCTGTCCATTCTCCTTCTTACTGTAATAATAAGATTTTGTACAAAATATTTAACCTTTTCGATTTTCTTATGAATTTCTCGATAATCTAAATACAAAAGAATCAGTAAAAACAGTCAAATTTGTTTATTTTTTTAAAAATTTAATTATAATATTTACTAGAATTGATAACAGTAAATAATAATATTTAGTTCTTAAATTAGACTTATAGAAACAAATATAAAACAAGATCTCAATTTAATTTGTAGTATTTTAAAAGAAGAAATATTATATAAAGTCATAATTTGAAAATATATTATAAAATGTTATTATTAAAAATACTAAAACACAATTATAATAAAATTATTATTTATTGTCATAAAAAGAAACATCGTACTGTTTACTGATCTGCGTTGTTAGGTTTGAATACGTTGTTGTTGTTGAAATATTTACAATAAACATATTTAATATTAAATTATTTATCTAAAACGATTGATTGTAGGCAGATTATTACAAATATTTAAGAAAAAATTTCCTTCCAATAGTTAAAAAATCAAAAAGTTTAAGTATTTAACACGTGTAGGAGCTAAAACACTACCTTACACAATAGAAATTACAACCTTTAAACCATATCTTAGCCCGTATTTTATCTGTTGTATTTGGAGAATTAAATAAGTGAGTATTCTTAAAATTACTTACTTTTGATTATCTGTCAATGATAAAAAAAAATTAACAAATACAATAAAGATAATTTAACGTATGACATTATGGAGAAATTCACGAACTTAGAGGAGTGTTGCATGTTAACAAGCAAGACACAAAATAAAATTATAAATTTATTTATTGCTAAATTAAATAAATTGAACATCGATTGATTCCATAAAATAGTTCTAATGTCAACAGCTATTTATTCCCGTAAAGTATATTGATTAATTGGTACTTAACGTAGCCAAAAATAAATCATTAAATTAAGTAAGATTATTTTAAATTAGAGGCAAAATTCCTAATAAACCAATAAAAAATCAATTATAATATTTAAATTTGAATAGGAGTATCAATTATTTTTAATTATAAGTAAATTTATTATCAAAAACTTTGGAAAATTCGAGACATGTGCCTGAATTTGAAATCGACGGCCATAAAATCACTTAAGAGATGTCATAAATTTCTTCGTAGATTCTGATTACCTGATCCTTATCAATTTTTTTTACCTGTACTGATTTATGGTACGAGAAAAATATTTAGACAAAGAAAATTTAGTATTTTAAGATTTTATTTTTCTATTTAGAAAGCGTTTTAATAAATTTCTTAAAATATAAAATTTTAGTAAATTAATCGAACACATTAAATTAGAATATTAAATAATAAACCCTAAAAAAATAAATTCAATATCGGTTAATTAATAAAATATTTCTCATATTATTTTAAAAATCTTGTTTAAATTTTTACTTTTAATTTATATTAATATGCAATAATTACGTTAATTTAATATTAAAATTCTCTAAGAGATCATCCAGAAAATTATTAAAAAAAAGAGAAAAATAAAAAAGTAATATGAAAGACATAAGTTAAATATCATTCTTTACTATAATAAATGATTCCTTCCCACAATTATTCGAACAAAAGTTAATAACTCAATTATGAAAATGCGAAAATATCAAGAGGAAACCATGCATAATGTATAATTGTAGGTCTGCCTCATTTAATACGCAGGTAGTACAGTTATTAAAAAAAAATGATTAAATCTAAAGTAGCATTTAATGTGGTGTCATTTCAAAATTACTTTATATACATATACGGTAACTAATATTATAAAGGTTCATTTATGAATATTTATTTAAAACCATATCAATTTAAAAAAAAAAAGTGTAGGATGGATTTATAGGGCTTGATTAAACGTTGTCATGGATTGTCTTTAATGGTAATTAAATTTAAAATAATATTTTAAAATTAAATTATAGAAAGGTATTTTTAAAATAAAATTCTTTTTATTGTTTAAAAATATGTATACTTATTAAAAATATTTTTAAAATATATATAAGCTTTCAGCTCAATTATCAGCCATACAGTATTTTATTTTATTCTTTCTTAAAAGTTTAATAAAAGTCCCATTGTAGTAGATTTTGTGAAAATGTCACATGGAATACTATCAAGTAAACTTGTATTTACTTCGTTAATTATGCAAAAATGTAATGATTTCATTTAATAGAGCACTGTCTACATGTTATTTCTAGTGCCTCTGTTCATTATTTAAACCTGTTAAGTAGTAAAATCATGTATATTAATATAAGAAAGCACTTAAATCGCATACACAAATCATGTACAAAGACTTTCCGACCTCAAAGCAAATCTCCAATAACAAGATATCTGATAAGACAAAAAGGATGTTATTTAAAGATGAAGTAGACAGTAGACAAGAGTTACAGCGAAACCTCTACACCTATTTGTACTTATCCGGTGCCTAAAGCAAATTTTATATATTTTGTTAGACCAATATAATTGTAACATTAATACCTAACAGTATGAAAATTTAGTAGGAACTAAATCAAATAGGGGTCATCTAGCAGTTTGAATAAATTTATATAACATCAGGGAAAAAGTTAAGTTTAAACATTCCTTAGGCTGATTGAACACTAACAGCAGGTTGTGTGGGATTTAGTAACATCTAAATCACCTCTAGCCCCATACCACTTGATGCATGTTGCCTGACAACGGAACATAAAGTAAAACAACTTTGGCAGTATGTCGTGTTCTTTGTTCTATCCAGAAACTTAGCTTTATTTTATATTTTATCTTAAAATAAGTTCTAGGAGATTAGATCTACATTATATATACTATATATATAAATACAGGACTAGGATGATTAAATCATTCCATTAGATCTGGCTCCTCTACTAAAAATTCAACAGAAGAAATAGTTTTTAAAAGAGCAACAGATGTTAAAGTGTTTGCAGCTGCAACATAATCTAATTTGATTTTTCTTTTATTTAATGTTATCTCATTAAAATTAGCATAAAAAATTATATACTGGTAGTTAAAGATGAATGAAAGGCTTTTTAGTAGTTGTAAATGATAATTTTCTACAAATTATAAAAAATGTTGTATCTTTAAATAGAATAATAATACAGTTTCTAGATTGCTTTAATACATTATCCGAGTGTCATGTATTAGAATGATAGACAATTGTTTATTTTAAATTTCTTATAAATTTTAATAGAAATTTATAAAGGAAAAATAGATTTATTATATTTATTTTATTTATTTATAAAAAAGATTTATATCTATTACATGATATGAATACTTATTTATATAATCATTCATATATATTTGAAATTTAGACTAAACTAATGCCAAAAACTACACTTAAGTTATAAAAACCCTTTATGGACTTTTATGATTATAATCAATGATGATGGATCATGTAATAAATCGTATTCCTGAAGAGTTCTTTAATTTATACTCAAATACAAGGATTATTTATGACGAAAATTTAGAATTGAAACGTTGAAGTATCTAA